TATTACGTAAGAAGTTTCAGGTCTTCAAGTAGAGGATTGTAGATCAACATTGAGGTGAATCAACAATGGACAGATACAAATTACAAAGTATGACATGAGATTAGGGCATGATTCTTAAGACGAATGGTAATGAAGGAGCATTAAAGGGCTGAGATTTATACCTAAAAGATAGGCAACAAAAGTAACTAGAAGCTTGGTAAGCATACCTCAATAATAATAAATTGAAGTAAAAATTATGGTATAGTATAACCCAGGTAGATGAAGTAAAGTCATATAAATGGATGACCAGATCTATGAAATAAGATATGGCCATATTCGCAGTTCTACAAAGTATCGAGCAAAGAACTTCAGTACACCTATAGAGGCCCAGAGAGACATCCTATTAAGCCTTGTATATACAAAGTAAGGCCTAGAGATTGACTAAAAGATAAAAGGAAAAAGGAAAGATGAATCACATAAGTACACTTACAAAGCCAGGGTCATACGGGCTGCATGAGAGGAGGTAGCAATAGTTGCAATATTAGAAAGATTTCGATCACAGGTCATGATATGAGGAAAAAGACTAAAAGGGGGAATACTGTAGACTTTGGATTTATTCACAGAGCAACTGCTTAAATGGAAAGACGAGTATTAAGGTATTTACAAGAGCTATAAGTTATGAAAATGATAAGATCATCAGTCAACATTTGAGGACGAATGTTTCAAAGGGGGGAATGATGTTACACCCTGCAATATTACGACAATGTTACATCATGCAGTATTATATTACGATGATGTTACGCCTTGTAGTACTGTACACTGAAATTGTCGTAAGGTAATTGACATCAGTCCAAGCAAAAAATTATTTGGACATTATAAGGATTATGCTATTTCACAAGTGATGAGGAAATTCGTGAAGGTGAAAGGGGAAGTAAGTCAAAGAAAATGAATTTTCGTCAATGTTTGGCATTTTGGGGTAAAATACGGCCGAACTAAAATACCTGATATTTATTAACTAGTACCATACAAGGTACCTCATGGACATGATGGTAAGGTATGTTAAAAGTGGGTAGTATTTTAAGTAATGTGAGATAATTCCTAATTATGTGGATAATTGGATAATCATTGTTTAATGGGAGATTAACAAATTAATCAAGTGATTAGTGGATAATTAATCCAAATAGTTGGATAAGTATTACATCCACCCAACATGGCAGCCAATAAAAGTCAAGAGAATGACTCTTTAATTAAGAAGAAACATGGCAACAATGTGCATAATGAGTCGCAAGACATATGATGCCTTGTTTACACGTAAGGATTCTTGGAATTACCTTGAATTGGTTTCTTATTTGGTATAGTTTCATATGTAAATTGACAAAAGGCTAAGTAGATGGGTTCTGCTATATTTCACTCCCTTTCTAATATAATTGAAAGATTGACTTTAAGCCTAAACAAATTGATACATATTTTGGCAAGTGGGAAAGGCATATTTTACATGGAGAAGATTTAATCTCCTAGGAGTTGGATATGTTTATTACTTTGCATCATTGTGGATGTGAATTAGACCAACAACGTTGATGCTAAACTTGCTAACGGAGGAAGCTCAAATAGCTCGTCTGAAACTTCATAATACGATAAAACGTGTGATTTGCGATTTTACGGGAGTACAGTGCAATCTTCCTCAAGAATATCGTAGGGATTTTCCCTACTTCGATCTGTCATTACGTGATTTGTCACAATTAATGTATGTTAGAGGGATTGTCAAAAGAATCGGCTTAGGTATGTTAAGGCTATCCCTTCTTTCTTTTGGCATGATCCATACGATACAAATGAAACGAGCAAAATACGCAACTTCCATTAATGACTCTACTCATAGAAATAATAGAGATGCTTATGTTCTTGATTTTCCATGTGTCATATTATTCTATCATTTGTTCATGTGTCTCAGAAAAATACAAAAGTTGAAAAGTGTATAATTTATGATATTACTCAAAGGAAAAATGGTCTTATGACATTCCGAAAGATTTTATTAACGTACTTTTCATGCATTGCATTCATATACATTGACCTATGATCAGATGACGTTATATACACATATATATATGCATGTATATATATGTATATGGGATATGGGAAAGGTTATGGCGTTATATACGCACCACCACCTGATCAGCTGGTATACATTGATGATTTTGCCCACAGTGACCAAGATGATATGATGGGATGCCCTCAGAAGCTTGATGATGTTATGAACATATGTACCTATGCACGACATGACATTCATACGCTTATGCATGACACTATAAGTATTTCATGATTTACAAAGTTATCCAGACTTACAGGTTGAGTTATTTACTCTATATTTCTTCCATGTCGTACTTATTTATGTGCTTTACATACTGGGTATATTATTCGTACTGACATCCCTTTTGCCTGGGGATGCTGCATTTCATGCCCGCAAGTCCCGATAGACAGGTCGAGAGCCCTCCAATTAGGCTATCAGCTCAGCGGAAGATGTTGGTGCGCCCTATTTGCTTCGGAGTTGCTTATTTGGTCAGTATAATTAGGACATGTATTGATTGGTATGACGGGGCTCAGTCCCGACCTTTATGATACTTATGTACTCTTAGAGGCTTGTAGACAAATATGTATACGAATACTTGTATGGCCTTGTCAACCTATGTTTAGAATTTATAAATGATCATGTTGGCCTATTAGGCCCGTATGTCACATGTATATGATGATATAATAAAAAAAATACGTTACGTTGGTACTCGATTGGGTAAGGTACGGGGTGCCCGTCGTGGCCCATCGGTTTGGGTCGTGTCATCAAAAGCATACATTGCACTCTTTTCCTTCGACCGGGTTTTTATCCCAAGATGAGTTTTACCGGCAAAGTTTTTAATGAGGTAATTTCTATATGCTACCTAAGGAAAGCTCAACAAGTATTCAAGGCTTCTCTTCAATCAACCTCGAATACTGAGGGGCATCCCCCTGGAAGGTCACCTCTTCGGAGAAGCCAAGATGCGATAAATAGGGTCTCGATAGGAAAATGATGTACCGGGCCAAACGGTCGAACAAACCGTGTCCATATAGAATAATTGATCCCTTGACAGCAAAAATGTGTATACTTTGTACCAAGTAATCAAATAATACTTTCCCCTCCATCAAAGTATTTCGCGTTTCAAAGAAGTTCGGTATTTTTACAAAAATGCCTCCAGAGCCAAAAACGCCCCGAACACTCGGGGACTTACGTCCAAAACTCGAAGCCGTATGACCTCTGAGTCGAAAGTTTCAAACTTGTAAGCCCTCAACGAGGCAACATCAAGGTTACAAAAATAGCTCCAGAAGCCAAAAACGTCCCGAAAACTCGGGGACTAGAGTCAAAAACTCTAAACCGTATGACTCCCGGGTCGGAAGCTTCAAACTCGTAAGCCCTCAATAAGGCAACGTCAAGTTTACAAAAACGGCTCTAGAGCCAAAAAAACTTTCAATGTCTCGGGGTCTACCGCCAATCGCCATCCCATCGACTTATCAAAACCCGAGGCCATAAGACCCCATATGGGCAACCTCGATCTCGTAAGACCTTTATAAGGCAACACCAAAAACTGTAAGACCTCAAACAATGCATGAACCATAATTTTACCAAGTAACCAAAACTGTAAGACCTCAAACAATGCATGAACCATAATTTTACCAAGTAACCAAAACTGTAAGATCTCAAGCAAGGCATGAACCATACTTGCACCAAGTAACCAAAACTGTAAGACCTCAAGTAAGGCATGTAAAATTATAAGACCTTGCAAAAAGGCATTACCCCGATCTTAAAGTTAAGGCTATATATTCGAACTTGTAAGACCCCTAAAAAGGCATACCCTCGATATAGATGCCAAAACTACTTCATTCGGGAACTAAAAGGCTACGACCAAACATAAATGACTACGGTAATAAGGCTCCGGCCAAACTAACGCGACTCGGGGACGCCCGACCGTTGCTATAAAATCACAGGCCTTCAATTACTTCGAAAGAACTTCGAAAAGAACTGGTTAAACATGCTACCCTTAACATATGCAAAAGAGCTTCGACCATGTCAGCTCCAAACTATAAGCTTCGAAACACTCAGCCACCGAACAAAACCTCCCGAGGTGCTCGTTCATCGCCATATAACGACTCACAATCGAGGTTTTTATCGAACCATCGAAGAGTCAGGCAAACACAATTTCAAAAAGTCCTTAACGAGGGAAAAATAAAGCCTATATTAGAGGTCGTACCAACCCAATGCGTAAGAGCCACTGCCGCCAGCTCATATGAGAGGTCGCACTGACCTAACGCATAAGAGCCTAAGGGCCAGCCTTAAATTCAAAAACTTAAGGGTCAATGAGTTCGAGTCGAAACCCGACTCGGAGACTGAACTCGAAATAGTTAACTGAATATGCCTAAGAGCAAAAGCATAAGAGCTTGAAATTTGACTAATTTCATGAAATGTTGTAGCCATATTTGCAAACTTCTGTATTTTGAGCAGAGAAAAAAAGGGAGTAGAGAATAGAAAAGAAAATAGAAGAGGGAGCTGATGTTTGAGAGATTATTAGACAGTTTCTAAGTTATGCAGTAAGAAACGTGGGAGTCCAAAAATTTGAATAGATGATCATGGATGAAGAAACATGGGAGTCCAAAAAACGTGGGACTAAGATAGCTACACAAACGTGGAGTCTTAGGGAAATAACCGAAACATATCAACGCTTTGTATTGGTACAAATTAACGTGGGATCTTAAGGGAATTAACTGAAACATATTTTTGGTTTAAAAGGTGTAAATTATTTATTTATTTTGTAATTTTTTTGAATCTCCAATCTTATTGGAGTGTTATCTTAAACAGTAACACGTGTCGATTTCCCGGATTGACACTTGGAGCAGTATTATTGTTTTGCCTCTCCTTTTCTATATTAATTAATTAATTAATAATTAATAATAATAGATAGATAATGGAGTTACGAGTTGGGTTTAGAAGATGACGGGTTCTTCACGTTATCAAGAATATTAGCACACACACAAAAAAAAAAAAAACCTTTTTTTCCAGAATCTCCGTGTGGACAGCTCCCTCCGACTGTTTTTTCAGCAAATGGAATGTTGGGTACCATTGTTTCAGATATTCTTGAACTCCCCTTGTCCCGAAACCGAAGCATCTCTATGGTTACAACAGTCTTTCAACCAATCTGGCTCCACCACCATTTCAACAACCTCCTTCCTTTCACTCCTCAACAAACCTACCGATATCACCATCACCGATTCCTCGTCTTCTCCATCTCTCGCAAAACGGTAAGTTTAGAATTGTATTGGCTTATCTTTACTTAATTTTACTTTTGAAGGTTAAAATTGAAGTTTAATTGTTTACCAGTTTAACTTAATGTGAATTGAACAAAGACAGATTGGTGTTTGTGTTGGCAGGGTTATGTGGATACAGACTCTACCAAATGCAGTTCAAGCTCGCATTTTGTCATTTCTTCTTTATGATAGCCGGAGATTTTGTGAAAGTGACTTGCGTCAGCTTGCGGAAACTATGTTGAAGGAGTGCAAAGAGCTTGATTTTTGGGTAAAGCGGGCTGCACATCAGCTGCTCGACGTAGTGTCTAGGTCAAACCATGAATGGTTAACTAGCTTGAACTTGGATTCTGAAGAAGAACTAGTGGATGATGAATTTAGTTCATTACCCAATTGGCTTAAGGATGCTGCCAATGACAGTGATTTGATGTTTCCATGGCTGCCTATATCACAGAAACAATTCAACTTGGCAATGCAGTTTAGTAGTTGTGGAGAAAATGATGATCCTTTGAGTGAATGCGAAGAGGGTAAACGAGAAATGATGGATGACGTAATGGAGGAGGTTGATGAAGTAATTGAGGAAGTAGATGACTACTTGAACCCTCAAGTTGAAGAAATGGCTGGGCGCTTGAAAGACCGGTTGTTTTCTCTCCAGTCTACAGCTAAAGCTGTGGAATTGGCAGGGGAAATTCGGCAGCTTTGTAAAGGAGGGGGGAAGTCTTTGGCTGTTTTGAGCATAATTGAACCTTGGAGAGCTGATGATGAGACAGCTGCAGTTTTAATGTCCAATCTTCTAGACGGGAATGAAGATGAACTTGGTTGGCCCAGTCACGTTCTTTGCGCTGTCATTCTTCCCAAGTTGTTGCTTTTGAAAGAACCAGCTTCTCGTGCGTTACTAACAGCAGCAATAGAGTACTCTAAAGTTCATCAGAGAGCTGCAGAGTATGCGTTGCTACTGCCGCTGATTCTTCGAATGGAAGGCATAAATAGCCCTATGTGTGATGTAATAACAAGGATAGTTAAAGAATCTTTGCACCCAGGCCATATTTCTGCCTTCTGCCAGAAACTTCTCTGCGATGGGGACAATCTGAAGAAATTCATCTCCCTTCCCTGTCATCAATGCTTAATTGGAAGTAAATTGGTATGGACTGAGTCATTATTTAATTTGATGCAAAATATCCTAAATCATAACATTCATTTGACTCAAGACTCAGTTGATAGACTTGTTCAGCATGCTTGGGAATCTGCTGAGAGGTTTTCAAAGTCTTTGAAATTTGGAAACTTTTTATTATGTTTTGTCACCAAATGTGCTCCTTTGTTGTCTCAAAAATCTTTACTCATAGAAGCCACTCAGCGTACTAATACTCTGGTGACAAAATCTGTGTTGTCAAAATTGTCTAGTTTGTAAGTGGCCTATACCCTGTTAAACAAACAGCTATGTAAATACATTATTGTTTTTTTGGACTTAGTTTCTTAAAGAAACTACTATAAAATTTTTACAACAGGTTTGATAGGAATTAACCTGATTGTTTATACAGATGGTATTTCTTAATAGTTTTTACTGAATCAGATTGCTGTTTTTTCCAGTTGTAGTTATAATGATATTAATACCTTATGTCATGCACTACAAGAGAAATGTTCTTCCTTGTCTTGGGTCTGTGTGGGTTGATAAAACTAAGGATGGATATTTAACAATTAGGTGGACAAACATAACGTTTGGACGGAGGAAATGTGAAAGTGAGTCTTATAAACTCTCTCTCTCTCTCTCTCTCTCTCCCATTCCCAATTTTCTGTTCCTTAAATCTATTTCAGGAAGGTGTAAGCCGTAAGGTGTACTTCAGATTTACACTAAACACAAATAATTTAAAATATTTCGAGTTGACAAAGGTTCTTCAGGAGGAATTTGTCTGTGACTTTGCATATGGTGCTGTATCTCTTGCTAGATGATAAGATTAAGAGAATTTAGCATTATACAGATTATTCTTCGTTAAAAGATTGTTATGCTCACAGCGATAGGTAGCAGGTAATCATCAATCAACCACTACCAAGAAATGCTCTCTGGAGTTAGTTTTCTTTTATTGATACAACCAAAATAAATCAACTTATTTTTGCTCTTCTGCAAGTGTCATTGGTCTATGAATAACAACCTTTCAAAGCAATTCTAACTTTGACCTTAAAACTTTTAATGAGATGTTACATGATAAAGGAAGCTTATATACATTAGCTTCTCTTGAACTATAACCAGAAAGAAGGCTCAAACAGAAAAAAAGAAAAAAGAAAAAAAAGAGGGCACTCAAATGATAAGAAACATAAACTTGAACGAGCATCGTTCTTTTCAATGTGAAGACTTCAGTGCCCGTTCGCCAATGTTTTTGCGGACTCAAATCTGGGGCCTTTTTCCGCAAACTTGGTTTTGGAATAAAGATTTAGATAATCTTGAAAACGGAGATGACATGGATACAAGAGCTTTGGTGCTGGAGAAATGATGGCCTCACCAGCAGGGTTGTAAAAGGTGGCAATGGAAAGTCTGTTCCCATCCTTTTCAGCCATCACTCGGTGTTGAATGCTCTTGTACATCCCATTGCTTAAAATTTCGATTTGATCACCAGTGTTTACAAAAATTCTGTTGTTCTTGGAAGGTGGAATTTTCACCCAATGTCCGTCTTTAAAGAATTCCAGACCAGGAACTTGTTCGTCTTGGAGTAAGAGAATGATACCACCAGCATCTGTGTGCTCACGCAATCCCCTGACTAATTCAGGGCGCGGACATTGAGGATATATTGCCACTTTTGTTCCAACAGAAGGACCCTTGCTTCCTGAAAATGCTTCCTTAATGTAACTCTTCTCTAGGCCAAGGTTCTCACACATTAGTTCTGAAAGATTTTCAGCAAGATTAATCAGCTGATCAATGTATCCATCTACTGCGTTGCTGCACATAAACATGTACCCGACGTAGTTCATATGTGGCATTCAATAATATTGAGAAAAGACTTGTTTCGAAGATAGATTGTCAGTGACATATTTTAAGTGCATGACATATAAGTTGTATGTGTGTGCGCGCATTCTAGTATAATTGTTGAACTGTTGGAACTTTATGCTCTGGTGTTCTTGACTTACCAAAGATCCGTTGAGAGACCTTCAATCTCATAGATGTTAGAACTTGGACGATGCCAAAGAAAGAACGTGCTTTCCCAGTCTGTGTTGCTGAGTTTTTCTTTCTTCTCTAAGCTCATAGTTAGCTCTGATTTATAGAACCGTTTCTTCATATTGGCTTCATAGTGCTGAATCACGAGCTGCTTCACATTGTCCATCAGGTTAGTGTCAATTTCATGGTTCTCTATCTGCATAAATTGAACATTTCTGTTAGTATCAATATCTTAAAAGTGCTACTACAGAAAAGCAGAAGTACAACATTCATTACCATAAAGAAGCCCCATTTCTCACAAGCGTGATGGAGAAGTGCCATGGTTGCACTTCTCTCCTCACCGTCAAGCTTACTGAAGTCTATCACCGGAATCTCCATCTTCTTGTTCTAAGTATGAAGGTAAGAAGGTACTTGGCGGACTATATATAGCCATAGGAGTAAAATAATTTTTACCTAGTGGGGTTGATTAAAAAAAGCAGTTAGATTTGAATAACAGGTAGTTGCAGTTATAACCTAATTACCTCATTCGAAGGAGAAATTATTGGGTACATTGGGATGAGCAAGGAATAGTAATGAGTCCAAATTCACTTCATACCAAAACCATGTGATTATACTGTTATTTTATGTTTTGACAATCTACAGCCGATTTGTGTCTTACAAATAAAGCTTTATTTACTTGAGTTTCTATGCAAAAATATTGCATGCCACTAAATTCCTTTCATGTGAACTTCTCTTTTTCTTCTCTGTATTCTACTGGTCAACTAGGACTTGTTTATATTCTTTTAGTAATGTTGGAAACTTTACGTACGGTAGTTGGTATTTCCTCAAATTGCAATTCGTTGGTTTGAAGAAACCAGGGGCTGTGAGTGATGGAGATCAATTGCCTTGGCCTAGATTCCAATGGGCGGTTTTGGTTTTGAAACTTTAAATATCTATATTAGATATGACTTTCAAACTAGCTAGCTGTCTTGATCATTTCCTTTTAGAGGCCATTTAGAACAGTTTGCTGAACCAAAATCCCAACTGTATCTTTCTTTGTTAGTGTTTGTGATTTCTAGAGTTTACCAGTTGAGTTTGTCATTGCTTAGTTGTAGTCTCTTCAAGGCATTGTGATACTTTCCCTGCGTCGTCTGTTCATAATTCATTCAAAATAGGAACCTGGTTTTGTTTCAACCTGGCCTTGTCTATGAGTAATATTTTACTCCCAATCGAAGTGACAAATACAGAATATACTCATCTATAGGGGCTGTTCTGATTAGATTATGAATCTTTTTTATCCGAACTGACCATTTTTTCCTCAACGAACGACGATTACAAAATTTAACACCAGGATTTGAGTGTGCATGGCTCGTTAGTTCAAGTACAATTGATATAATGTCTTACTTGGTGACTATATTGTCGATATATTGTAATCTTTACGGCCTCATGGTTTCGTCCTCAGGTTTTAACTCAAAAGGTGTCTCAACAGATGAACTTCTGATCTCATTTTATATGGACTCCTAACTTTCTCGCCATTCCAATATGAAATTTGCCTTAGACAAGTTTCACGGTAGATCCCTTTCAGCCACCAACATCAGTATGCTGTTACATATAATTTTATTTGTATGTCCAAAAAGATTAGTTAAAAGAATGATTGTTTAGTATTTTACGGGCCACAATTCTATGCAGGTCTAGAACCTTGTCGTGGCAATTCAAATATCGGATCAGATTGCATTTATAGGAGAACATTTAGCAGAATAAAATACGTCTTTGATTCGAGTGACAAAGTATGAGTGGTTAAAAAACAATTTTTGCGGATCTAACTTCCCTATTGGGGGATCTATTCAGTGGCGGATCCAGGATTTATAGGTCGTGGGTGCTTCACTGATTTTAATTTAAATTCTAGATGGTCAAGCATGGTCATAGTGAGCGCTCATGATCAATTAGTGAAGTTTTTAGGTATTATTTATGAATATATTATATAATTTGGCCAAAGCCCATGGATGCTTCAGCACCCATATGTCCAAAGGTGTATCCGCCACTGGATCTACTTTGTAGGTAGTTAAAAGGAAGTGCTATGGTTTTTTACTTAGGCATTTTGGGGAATAATCAATCATAAACTCTATCAGCAACTGATTTTGTCTTGTGTAGATGGAATGACAAAACAAAGAGGAAACGTGAATGGGGTAAAAACAATTTGAACAAAACAGAATCACAATCGGACTCACTCATATTTCATGACAGTAAAAACAGATTGGGTGATTAATGGAATGGTAAAAAAAGGGTTAATCATATTATATAAGAGTACGGTGCACGTTTAGAATAATTACGTCATCTGACTCCTTCCTAATTTCGACTAGATCAATCTCAACAAATGTTTCTAAGTCATATATATGGTGAGTGATGAACGTGTGTATCAACCTTCCTTAGGAGTCGTTTGGTAGGGTGCATAAGAATAATGCTGAATAGGATGTATTAGTAATGCTGGTATTAGTTATGCTGACATTTTTCTTATCCATTGTTTGGTTTGATGTATTAAAGAATTGCACAATTTCTAAAAGAATTGTTTGTTTATAAAAATGCCCTCAAAACTAGTTCACACTCTAACTTTTTAAAAGAAATATATGTTGAGAAATATTTTTATATGAAAAAGTTTACAAAAAAATATTTGATTTGTCTACTTATATTGTAAAATAGAATTAAATATTTATTTATAAAAAAGAAAATATGCTAAGTATTTATTTATTTACTAGGTATATAATTTTATTTCTCACTATTTGGATTTTGAACTTGCATTAATATACTAACTAGCATATTCTAATCAAACATAAATTTTGAAGGACAATTTTGTCTTTAACTAAGCTAATGCATGCATTAAAACTCATTGCATTGCTAATACCATTGTTTTCTATGCATTAGTTATGCATAGGATAATACCAAATAGGATGTATAGCTAATGCTTGTATAACTAATGCATAGGTTCAAAATGTGTACCAAACAATATATTATTAATACACAAAACTAATGCATACATTATTTTATCTAATGCATTCTACCAAACGACCCCTTAAAATGCACAAGTCGCAAAGAGGTGCCCTTTCCTGAGTTTCGCAAATTACAAATCTTCCGGTGAAGCTAAGTATATGCTTTCTATTTCGTTAATATCAATCTGCACTTTTTACACGACAAGCTAAGTTATTAGGTAAATAATACGGAAGTTGAAGTATTATAATGTACTCTGTTTCGTGGATGTGTCGGAAGTAAGGGAAAAACTCGCTCGGAGCGTTTAAATCAAACATATCGACATACTATGGTTAAGCGACTTAATACGATGAGAATATATATTAATTAATCATAATTAAGTGTTAAAAGTATATGTACAAACATATCACACGTCTATTGGTTTGGAATAAATACCGCAGGCTGAATTTATACCAAATCAATAAATGCATGACATGTGTTTCACATAGATTTTTCTCCATCAATTACGGTTAATTAGTATATATTCTCATTTCAGTAAGTTACCGTAAAACGATACAGTTGAATTTATACGTTGTAAAACCTAGAAACACGTTGGAATGGCACACTGGAAAACCACTCTTTATTAATATTCATTAACATGGTACAGCATATATTTTTATAGTACAGACCAACAAGAAGTCAAGATAAGAGCAAACTCTATATGATAAACATAAGAGAGATCCCATAGAGTTTTAGTTGGACAATGCTTGTCATTTAAACTCCGCAAGGATAGACACGGTCCAATACCCCCCCCCCCCCCCAAACGGAAGGTGGGT